TGATCTTCCTGCATTTGGTATCATTGCATGTCTTGCGTGAGTCTGAAGAGGAATTTACAGACTGAAATCAGACATATGGGCTAATATCAGACTTATAGACTTGATCTGGACTGGGCTGGGATGTTTTCTTAATATACAATTACTCTGATATAAGGCTCTCTCTTACACACATTTGAGTGTCTTCAGATTTGTTTCTCTGCCAGGACTAACACAGTTCACATGGTCTTATTTATTAAAAGAGCAATGTTTTATTTATCAGCTGTCCAAAGTTTACTCAGGGCTATTGTATCTTCCATTGGATTTGTTTGGAGTTCTCAGGTGTTTTGCTGGGCCAAAACCAATTCTGTATGAATTACGAATTTCGTAACGATCCTCAGTGGTGCAATGATTCAATGCTTGTCTGCTAACCAAGAGGTCAGAAGTTTGAACCCAGGAGCAGCTTGTTGGAAGGATGATCCGGTGATCTGCTTCATTAAATATTACAGCCTGGGAAATCCCATGGGGCAGTTCTACTTGGTCACATGGGGTTGTTATGAGTTGGAAATCACAGACAGGCAAGCCTAAGGATCTCCCATTTGGCTGACAGATTCGGGACCAGCTGCAGAGGTGAGGCAGAACAGGTGGAAAATAGCAAGTAGAATGGAGCAAACTTTGCCTTAAAAAACAAAAACAAACAAGCCACGAAAAGGGAATAAACCCATGACTACAGCAAGGGTTCTATCAAGTAGCACTGACTTCTCTGTAAATGAAGAAGTTAGGCAGTGCTACCTTGTGTCATTGGCAGTGGGAGCTCTATATTTTTATAATGGATTTTATAAAGAGCCAGACAATGAATTAAATGGCATTGAGGGATGTCTCTGTTGGTTAGGTGTTAGCTGCTAAACACAAGATTGACAGTTCAAGCCCACAGCTGCTCTTCAGGAGAAAGATGAGGCTGTCTACTCCCAAACAGATCTGTAGCCTCCGAAACCTTACATAAGGTCACTATGGGTTGACGTTGACTTTATGGCAGTGGATTATGGCCAATTTAGGGACCCTGATTCTGCAGTGGTTAAAATGCTCAGCTATTAAAGATCAGCAATTCTAACCTGCCAGCCACTTCACAGGAGAAAGAGCTAGTGGCCTGTGTCTCTAAAGAGTACAGTATTGGAAACTCTATGGAGCAGTTCTGCTCTTAAGAGTTGTCATTGAGGACTTTCGGGAAGATGGTGACTGAGTAACACTTACCAGAGGGACTCTGCAGAAATCAGCCCAGGAGAGTTACTTAGAGTGACATTCAACACTGCTGGATCGCAGGAGGAGCATCATAAAGATAAGTAGGCACATATCCACAAGGTTTTGAGGGGCTAGGGGCTTTTGGCTTACCACAGTGGAGGCTGGCTAGGACTTGACCTTAGCCCTGCCACTGTCTCGGCTGGCGCCAGGACCATTTGGAACCCGCGCAGGGGCTTTATCTCAACACAGCCACAGATTGCTGCCTCGGGGCAGTGATTAAACCCTTGCAGTCCCATGGGCAGGGATCGGGGCTCAGCTATATTGTTACCTTTGTTTCCCTCTATCCCCTCCACAGTCTCAGCGGGCTTATTTAAATTTTTTTTCTCCTCCTTGTCTCTTCCCTGTTCTCTAACACTTCACTGCCAACCTCCAGACCACTCCCCTAAGTCTAGGGCATTTACACCTAACCCCCATCCAGCTAGGTGAGCTATACCCTGTGCAGTGTACACCGAGGCTGGGAAAAGCCCAGTCAACCTCCACCAGGCTATACTCCAC